TTAAATCTCGAACACGCGTGCCACCTTCATATTTCTCAACAATCTCTTTTTTCAGTTCCGTTGTGATTCTAGTCATTTTTTTATTTTTCTGTTGCCCTTTTGCAATTCATGATTAATAAAAATAAAATGTTGCTTACAAATTAAAATCAGAAGAAATTTAACAAAGTTATAAACCGTGGCACCGCAAACGTCTAGTCTGGTCTAGTACACCAATAGTGCTACTTGTTCATAGATGACACTTATAATTGAATTAAGTCGTATACCGAGCAAAATTTGTTTCGTCTAAACAGGACGTATTCCGAATTAGATGTATTCTAAAGCAGACATAAACCGAGGTACCACTGTATTATTAAATATTTAATCAACTAGATCATTAGACCATGATGACAGTTTATTTTTATTAACAATTCTTCTAATCATTAATGCCTTTACTAGTGTAATTAAATTTGGAATTATGAACTTAGACTAATAAAGACTAAACTAATAATATTAAGTATAATGGAATCTGGTTATTATAATTATAGATATTATCAATCAGATATTGTTATAATAATCAGTCAGTCCCAAAACACTAAATATAATTACAGGTAACCCCCGTATAACACGGTAGTTACGTTCCAAAAAATTGCCGTGTTATGCGAATCCGTGTTATACGAAACAAAGAACTAATACGAAAAGGAGGGTTAGGTTCCAAAAATTTAAAAACATGCTAGTATATTTTCATAATTAAGATAAATATCTTCCTTAAAATTTTTTTAAGTGATACATATTAATATAAATTAAACAATATTTTCTTCGTCATCACTAAAAACACAACTTTTAGTTATAACAGAGGATAAGGATAACTTTTGGCAAGTTATCCTTATCCTCTGAGCATTTTTCTGCATTATCTTCAGATCCATGCTTTACCTTTTGCAAAATGTATGTAATTTTAGATTGCTTGCTTCTAGTTAAAAGGTCTTTATAAATTTCCTTATATGGTGCTAAGCACTTATGAAGAATAAAGCAAGTGTGGAATAAGGGAAAAACATTTGGCAACATCAGAAGCAGAAGCGTCGCGATCTGGCAACACTGAAACAAGTTTTGAGAAGGACCACCTGTATCGATAGAAGGCGAAAAGAGAAAATTTACATACTTAATTACTAATAGTTCATGAAAATTATTATTTTCGTGAACTATTATTAGTTAAGTATGTAAAAATTTATTACATTTCCTGTTGTACGAGGGTTTTACCCAATTCTCGAACCGTGTCAGAGTGAATCCGTGCTATAAAAGTACCGTGTTATACGGGGGATGGTACCAATTCTCGAACCGTGTTAGAGCGAATCCGTGCTATAGAAGTGCCGTGTTATACGGGGGTTACCTGTATTTAAAAATAATTTATCTATTATAATCAAACTTCAACTATTGTTACCAATTGTGATAATTACACCTGGGGACAAATGATAAAAATTTTAGAAAATTTGAAACACTTTAAAAATAATTTGGGCTACATTTTGAGGAGTTCTGCTTTACTTTTTATAAAACCTATCTGACAACCTGTGAGATTCTCACAGGACACATGCTATTTATTTGCAGTTTATTTATATTATTATTATTAATTAACAAAAATAGTGTTTTGTATATGTATCCCTATTCCATTTTCTTAATAAATTTACATCAGTTACATGGCATTTGGCATATTGTATAGATATATATAAATCTCGGATAATTCAGTCACAATTATTTCATCCCTTGAATTTCAAACTAACAAGGATTTCTCATATATGCATTTCAGATACCACTGCTTGACATACCCTACTCAAATATACACTTTTCATCTGTACTGATGAGAGATACTGCAATCATGGTATATAAAGTGATTGAAGTGGAAATAAAAGAATAGTTTACTAAGGTCTGTTATTGTCCTTTGTGTGAAATTATGACTTAAAAATCAGGATAAGAAGGGACTTTGGATCAGCATTTAACTGATATTAAGAAAAGTTCTGTAAAATAATACTAAACCAAATCCACAGAAAATTTCTTCATTCAGGTATAAGTATTTTCAAATAAATTTTATGTTGTTTTAAAAACAGTTGTTTGTACAGTAAGAAACATAACACACATAACTGTGTAATGTGGTATTAAGTGTGTAGTTTGTAATAAATATAAATTGTAGAAATGTCATAATTGTTTGAAATAAACTGAGTTCAATAATAATAAATTTTTTATCCTCTCTTTAATGTTATCAAAAATTATAAATCCCAAAGTGATTGTAATAAGCAGATTCCACCATATTTATATAACTATATACAGTAAAATCTGGCTTTGTGGCCTCCCCTGAAATTACTCTATAAAATAAAACTTCTCCAGAAACTGGGACACACTATATTATACAAAAATTCACTACATTTATATTCACTCAGCTGATTTTTCCAAAACAATGAATGCTTTTGGTCTACTTCTAAGACCTGCTTAAGATGAAAAATTTTTATGCAGATGGAACTTCTAATGTTTTGATGCTTTAATATGTTGAACACAGAAGAGCTCACACGTAAATTCGAATTTTATAGAAACTTGGGTACATCCTTTTGGTCAATTTTATAAAATTTTAATTTGAACTTACATGTGAGTTCTTCTGTATTTGACATATTAGAACATCGAAACATTAGAAGTTCCATCTGTTTAAAAATTTTTAACCTGAAGCAGATCTTAGAAGTAGACTGAAAACATTTGTTTTTGTTTGGAAAAATCAGCTGAGTGAATATAAAAGTAGTGAATTTTTGTACAATTATCCTATAAAACTGCAAAAGTTTTAATATAAATCAAACTCCATCTTGGTGGCCATCTCACTTAAATTGACCAAGATACAATACTTGAATGAACCCTACTGCATTAATTATAATCATATTTCATAACAGCTTGCTTATGTACTCTGTATGTCAATGTTTTATTATTCAGTCTTAATATATTGCCATGTATGAAAATTTGAATTACTGTATATTACAAAGAACTACAGTATTATGTGAAATTTTTATTTTGTTTTATTTATTTATTTTTGTTTACTCTTAAAACCTGCATTAAACCTTTAGCAAGATTCAGTACAATACTCTAGTTACAATTCTGTATGTCAATTTTTTCATATCCCCCACCTAGGTAACCACCTCGTTTAAGGTATGTCCTACATAGTAACATCCAGCAACCATGGACTTAAACACACTACCAAGCAGAGCAGACAAACTGATACAAGAGAATATGCATGTTCAGAGTAATTGTGTTTAGTGTACAAGATGACCACCAGATGACATTTCTCTACACATATATGCAGGAAGCAGCTAACAAGCAAGTTTGATCCCACTTTCACTGCTCTCACTTCCAAAGAAGAAGAAAAGCTGGATCATCTTTTATTTCATAATACAAATAGTGAAATTCACCAAACTCACATTTCTTATAAATGTTGCATGTCTTTTGTCTATAAGAAGTTTCAGTAATACAATGTAGAAAACTGTTTTCCAAGAGAAGCATTTGATAAAATCTCGCCATTTTGTAAACAATACAAATCCACTCTGGACAGAGGTCACTTGCCAGCTGAAAGCACATACAAAAATTCTTTCTGGCTGCAGTCACTGGACAATCCCATGTTGGACATACCTCATACAGTCAGAAAATTATATTTTGTATAGAAATTGTATATATATTATTCAGTCTTAATATATATATATAAGGAACAGTTTTTATATTTTAATAAGTTTTGAAAATTAAGACTGTTATATATTATTTATTTAAAACATAAAATATTTTTAATATATCACAAATATGTTTGTCTTCTTCAAAGTTTACATGGAATATAAGAGAAAGCAAACTTAACAATGGAAACAAGAAAAATTTAAAACAACTCAAAATAAAAAATAGAAATTTTCAAGAGAATTCATAAAATATTTTTAAAAATCACATTAAAGATATTACCTTTTCTTCTTCTTCCTTTTCTGTACAGAATCATCATCTGTAAATTAATTAATATCATCAATATTATTGTTTTAACATAAAACACCAAAATATACACATTCTTAGTAATAATTTTGATATTCACATCAAAACTTAATGAAAAATATAAGTTATATAAGCAGTGCTGGCCCGAGCAAACTCAGCACCCTAGGCAAATGATTTTGATGTCGCCCTATTTTAAAAAATTAGCAACAATATAAAACACCAATGTAAAATAGAGTATCTAATTTTTATTCAAATACGTAATAAAACAGCATAGTACAGGATTGTGATAAAAAAACATTTATTTTTTTTCATTATTTATTGTAATTTATGCAAGTACTTTCGTCATGCCGTCCCCTGAATTCAAGCGCCCTAGGCCATTGCCTAGTTCACCTATATGGGCCGGCCGGCCGGCCCTGTATATAAGAAAGTAATTAATTCTTTATAATTAAAAACAAAAATGTAGAAATACATTTTGTATTTTTATGCATATAACCAACACAGAAATACAGTAATGGCTATATGTAATCTGTGCTTGAAGTACAAGAGTATGGATGAGGGTTTAACAGGTTTGGGCTTTATTATGGTATGGGTTATATGCTTCTTTTGAACTATAATTACAAATTCACATTTATGGAGCAACAGCTGCTCCCATAGGCAAAGGGTGCAAGTTATTTTGTGTTCTAGCAATTTTCTGCAAGGTATATACCATTGCAGGTTATATGCATAAAAATACAGTAATCTTCAAGCAAGTGCTTGGATTACATATGTAATTCACATAATTCATTTATGAAATCTGAAAATTGATCTTATTTGTGAAAACATGATTTATGATCAAGAGAGACTATAGATGCAATTTTTATTATTATAATGCTTCAATTATCATTAAGACTATCTCTCAGCTAGGGCATCATCAACTGAAAGCCAAACTTTAGCAGATTACAATTGAAAGTCATGTGCCCAAATACTCATGTAACATTTTGTTTATCTCACATAATTCAATGAATCAAAAATTAAGTACTCAATTTTTCATTTTGTTATTAGAAAATGTTGCAGTACATATGATAAATAAAACTTAGCAACATTCATTTGAAGAAAATTTCTGCAAAATATTTTCTCCCTAACATACTTTTAAGAAACTTTTCTTAAAATGAAAACTTTTTAAAAATCTAACATTTTGACATCATTGACATGCTACTTAAATGGAACATTATTTAAAAATAATTTGAACTGTAAGTTTTTCATTACAATTTATGTTTGAATTTGTTCCTTCCTCTGGCATGCTGTGCATAGAATGTTATTTAAACCTGAAATTTTTTTAACTTTGTTCCATTTTTAAACAATCATCTAATGTAGAATTGTAATTTACAGATAGCCTAATAAATAAGACAGAAAACATTAGTTAAAAGGCACTCTTTTTGAAAATTGATTATTTTCAGATTATAGTTATCAAAAATCTACTAATAAAATAAAAAAGAAAAAAGACATTATATTACTATTAACTCTTTTACCAGTAGATTTGGTTCTTGCTTGGCAAAGTCTAGAGGCAGGCTAATCACACTACGAGGCTTAACCAAAGTTATCAAGTACAAAAAAATTCTTGTAAGAACCAATATTGCCAAAAATAGCAAGCACAAGAATTCTTGTTCATGCTGGTAAAGAGATTAATTAATTAATTGCCTGCCACACTTAGAATGATCATGAATAAAACAGAACATCCTTGTACTACATAATCTGTGAAAACAAAAAAATTAAGACACATAACTAACATTATAATGAATACATGGACATAAAATGAAATTTCGTGTTAATGTCTTTACCTTGCACCACGAGAAAAGCAGTTGAATTGTATATTACCTCCATACGAATAAAGAAAAATGGAATTAGATTTCATTTTTTCACTATTAAATTACAATAATATTTAAAAACTTTACTTTCATAATTTGCAAATATTCATAAAATATTTAATTTTAAATGAATAACATATGTATATTAAATGCTGTAATAGAAGAACTGAAATTTAAAAACAGATACAATAGTTTACAATAGTAACTCATATATGTCATTCTTATATTTTAAAACAATCTGTCTAAAAATAACCAATTGGAATATTTCTAGTAAATATCACTTGTACCAAGCAGAATATAAATATATAACCTGCTAGTATTATCATTTGGCTATATGCATAATTTATTTCACAATGCCAGGAGGTTGGGTCTGTACTAAGTGGAATAAAATGGCATCTTTTTAACCTGGGTAAAGTACCGTTTGCATAATATATGTGGTTTTCTCACCATTATTGCAATACCAAGATTATTACTACACGTACATTTCATACAATAACAAAACTATATTCCTGATGATAAAAAGTTTATGTTTGAAAATACTAGAACATTAAGAATTAATTTTGTTTTTTTATGATTCATAAAAAGCATTTTTTTCTGTTTATTTAAAAGTATTTTAATTTTTTCACAATAATGTAACTAAACAATCCAAAAATTTGATCTTATTTGTTTTAAAGATTCCTCTCAATTATTCATTAATTGTATCTTATACATAATTAATAAATAATTTAATTTTGCCAAAGTATAACCTGCAGCATCAATAATGTGCATTAAATGAACACAAAAAACTTCACTAATAAATAATCATTAATCCAGCATGAAAGTAACAATTTATTACTAAAACAAATGTTTACAACAGAACTTAAATTTTTACACTTATTTTAGATTATTTAATTATTTATTTGTTATTTTTAGTTTTTTCTTTTTTATTGGGTTGTTCGGAAAGTAATTTCGTTTTTTTTTTTTTTT